AAAAGCGTTGAAAAAGCGAATTACAAAAAAACAATAATGGGATTATAAATGACATGACAGCTAATCTCAGCGGGCCAAACGATTAGGAACAAAATCCTGTTGCCGTCAAATCTCCAGCGCTGCTCTTTTCTACTTGAAAGTAGCGTTCTCTCTCGTTCCTGCTTTCTTTTAATATTGCCCTTCGGGCGATTCGCATTCAAGCTCCTGTGCACGTCAGAGCTTCTACAGAGCTCATGCAGCTCCAGTGATCTGCAGTCACCGGCTCTGTAGGCATTGTGAAAGTGGAGCAGGCGGTGAAAAGGCAGGCAGTTAGGAGGCGAGAAGACAGCTTCCCGACACCTGTTACCAACAGAGCACACGAGCACGCAGCTCCGTCAACCCCACCACAGCGCTAAATCATTCTCATGTCGCAGAACTTCAGGGGTGAAACTAAACGCCTGTGCCCCAGAATACCACAGGACCCCCAAAAGAAATGGCTCGTACATTTCCAGGACACCCCTCAAACTGGAACGGACTACAATCTTAGAAACAATAGAATATAACAGAAATGAGCTTTTTTTATTTTCTGTTGATGGGATTCACTTGTTTTCCATGTGACGCTACCAACGCGATCACCACAGTATCAGATGGCTGTGTCAAGTGGAGATCGCACCACTGATTCACATGGTATTTAAGTTTTAGCACTCCTAAAGCTGTGAAGTCAGGCGGCTTGATGCAAGACGCACATCACATCTCAGGCCCGATGGATTATTTAAAACTGGGCTATTCAGAAATGGAAACCACTTTGTAATATACTTCTTCCCTTCCATCCTGTGAGTACAGATCTCCTCGTCCCAGCACTCCCCTGAGATTAGACAGAAACACCCCCTTCCCCCCGGTCCTGAACCCCAAACTAAGAGAAAACGGGAACCAGTTTAGATGTACTTTGGCTGTGTGACTCATTCTGGCTCAAGCCAAACAGAGCATCAGCTGCACCTATAATGCTTCTGGCAACTAATGCAAGGAGAGGGGGACAGGGATGGGGGGCTGTGAGGAGTGCTTTCTTCTTTTAAATGCAAAAGCGAGGGATTTAGGAAACTGAGGCTTTTCAAGAGAGAGCAGGAATAATCAGCACAGCTGAAAAGGCTCTGCTGCCAGCGCCTGTGAGACTCCAGCCCCGCTCAGCAATCTCCAGGCCTCTGTTCTTCGCCTGTGCCTCCCGTGTCGGGGGGCGCTGGGCAGATGAACCTGCGCTTGTCGTCAGGGCAAGCTCACTCTGGGCTGGCACGGTGCGTGTCCGGGCCACAGCTCGTCAAATGACTACCTGAGACTTGAAGCGAAGAGCAAAAGATGCAGGAGAAGGAGGAGTCCACCTTGTGCTTCCGCAGAAACCAGCTCAACCTCTGAAGCCATATCTCCTGTGATCTTTTGGGTCCTGGGGACTTTAGTGGGCAAACTCAACTGACAACCGGACAAATTCAAAACCTCCCCCCAAAACTTTGTGGGCCTTACGAGCACTGAGCCCCCCAACCTTGCCTTTTTTGAACCATCACCCGCACAAAAGCACTGAGAAAATCGCAAATTATATCCCACTGTTTCAAAGATTTGCATCAATCAAGCGTCTGAGACTCGGCTGGAATCAAAACTGCGACCCTTGAGGATGGAGGCCTCTGGGCTCCCTCACAAGCTGCAGCCATGGCTGTATCCATAACTACCCAAGGTCCTCCAGTGATCTGGCTTGTACACCTGCTCATTGACGCTGCTGCTCCTGCAAGCCTGCTTTGTGACCAGCCTCCGCAAGGCCTTGCTGTGAAGGTCGCAGCAGCAGCAGTATGGCATCTGCTTCAGAAGAGCGTTTGTGCAAAAAGAACAGGGGAGGGGTCAAAACAGCAGGGATTACGAAAAATAGATGAGGAGCGATCAAAATCCAAATATCCTTCAGGACGTCTGCCTTTCCTGTTTACGGGAACAGCACCTCGAGTGCAAATCAGATTACTCGTGCAGCGGCCCAGCTGCTCGGGGTCTTGCGGCCATGCCCCGTCTGAAAGAAAACAAATCTGCACCAATGAAGAAAGATTGTGCTTAGGAGTCACTGACAGGCTGAGGAACAGCCGAAGCTGCGCTGTGAGGCCCCGGGACAGGGCGGGATTTGTCTAGCAGAGGAAAGGAGAGGGCTCTATCAGCCAGTGCAAAGGCGGCAGCACTAGGATCCTGCCGGAGCAGCCCTGTCTGTGTCTGAGGCCGGTCTGCAGGCGGAGAATCTGCCAGTCGGATGCGTGGTGATTCGCTACTGGCCTCCAGCTGCCGCAGGAGCTTCAGAACGTCTTCCGTGCAGAAAAGAAGTTCGGAGATAATCCTGTTATCACTTTTCATGTGGTTCGGCAATCTATCTCTTTTTTTTTTTTAGAAGAAGGCGTACGACGTGCGGCTCAAAAGCAAAACGTCCCCCCCCCCCCCCCCACTCAGAGTCACTGGCGCCTCTGTTAAAGAAGAAAAAACCCCAGCTCGTCAGCTCCTCTCGTCCCCGGCCTTTCGTTTAACCGCATCACAGATCTCCCCGACGAGTTAAAAATAAATTCGGGACTCATCACCCATCTAGAACAAAAACACATCTGGCTTGTTACAGAAAAACAGGTAAAAATGTCTGGAAGGACTGCTCTATTTTTAGCACCTTGTGAGATAGTGGTTCTGTGATAATGCCAGTAGGAATTAGGACCCAAAGCTCTATAATAATACATGTCCTCTTAGAGGGCTGGACTCTTGCAATATCTTTCAGAGGGTCATTTCTGGAGCTGTGACAGACCCCTGCCATAGACAAAGAACAACATTCAAGTGCAACATCAGCTCAGCATATACAACAATGACACCAGAAGCAGCCTCCACAGCCAAAAATTACGTCTCTTTAGTTTTCCTGTCATGGAATATGTCTTTACCTGTTCTTTTGCAGCCTATGCAAGCTGACACAGATCCCTACTCTAACTTCCATATACAAGAACGGTCAACCTACACGTGTGCTTTAGTTTATCAGCTGATGCAAGGATGCAAAATGATCCTTATTGGCTAGTGGTGGAAATACGGACAGTGTAGCATAGTGCGTAACTCTCTGAACCAAAATCCAGCGGGTTTGAGTCCCTGCTGCAGACACTGCTGTCGTACCTGAGCGAGGTACCTGACCCCAGTTGCTCCAGTCCGCCCAGCAGTCCATGAATGGGAACCAGTATTGGTGGGGGTCAGCGCTGTGGTGGACTAGGGCTGGCCCCATGAGCCTCAATATTGAAAATGGCCTACTAGGGCAATTCAGTGAGGTAGGTGGTTTCTAACACCTGTGGGTTTGAACGAGTTGACCAAAACCCAGCTCCTGAAATGTGGATGAGAAAAGCTGAAAAAGTACACAAGGCTGCTCAATATTCTGAGGTAGCCAAGACGTCTGCGATAATATTTCAAGTTTTTTTACATGATGCACATAAGATCTCTAATGACCCCACATGAAAAGGCACTGTGCCGTCTCAGAGGCTGGCGGAACTGCCCGGGCCTGTGTTTGCCCCTGGCTGCCATCAGTACCAGCCTCGCAGCTCTGAACCGCTAACGAGGCTGCCTCGTTGACAGCTCTCCTAGTTGCTCAACTCTCTCGTGAGCCCGGTGTGGCAAGCTCCCTTTCCTCCAACGTCTTCCTGTCACAGCGGAGAGCACTCGGGAGAAGTGATGACTATGTAAGACTTGTCAATGTTGTTTACAACGTAGCAAAATATCCTCTGGAGTGAGCAGCGCCTCTTAACTCAAAAAAACCTCCAGAAAACAACATTGCTGATATCTCCTTGAGATTGGACACACTCCCTGCTCGAGGTAGCTATCAGTTACAGAAGAATACAGTGGAGCTGATAAGGTGCAGGAGTAACTCTGTGAGGAGCTGCCACTGTTCCACTGAATTATACAGCACATTAGAGCCCTGGCCAGCCGACTGTCAGCTTCCAGCGCGATGCAGTAATGTGCCGCTGTTAGCAACTCTGCCGCAAACACCATCTGCCTCCATTAAAATGGAAGTGAGCCCTGTTGTGTTCATTATCAGATCTTAATAAATTGTCAACTTGAAATGTCTCACCCCATACTGGCTCGAAAAATAGTCTAAAAGCACTTCTGCAGACTCCTGTATAATTCCCCGTGATTAAATTCTATCTTCTTTCGGGGGAAAAGGAACTTCATTTTTGGAGCTGATCATGCTGAATGTACTCAGTAGTATTTACAGTGCCTTCAGAGCTGCCACACATACAGAATTTCGATTTGCAGTATTCCTCAGAACACAAGACCCTTCTGCTATTTTGGTTATTACTGATAGCATTAGTTACAACTAATTATAAATACACTAGTAGGGTTTTTACTATCATTGCATTGCATCTCATTGCAGCAAAATGTTATTACTCTACTATAAAATATAATCACTTATTATTTGACTGACACATTTATTCAAAGCACTTTACATTTATACAGCTGGGTATCTCAGTCAGAGTCAGGTACCTTGCCAGGGGGGTACAGCAGCCCAGCCACCACATAGGATTCGAACCTGCAACCTCTTCGTCACGAGTCCAGAGCTCTCGCTCTTGAGAATCGTTCCACTAAACGAGGCTTTCCTTCTCAGGAAGAGAAATGGATTGCGGCTGCATGATCTTGGTAAGGCACATCATTTTTTAAAGCACCCCCCGGCTGCCCTCATCTGAAGGAGCCACAGTGTTAGGCGCTCGAGAACAGCGTCTGAACCGCCGTGCTCGTTTGATCCTCACTGATCTGTGGATCTCATCATCCATTTCTTGGGGGGGACCGAAAGCAATCGCTCTCAGCACTGTTCCCCGGCAGCGCGCCCTTGCATAGGAAGAAGACTGGACTGACCCTTCACTTGTGACCAGGGACAGGTCCGACCCAGGTGTACAGAGGAAGCACACCTGACCAGGTCCCCACGCCAGCCCGGCACACAGCGATGACCCACAGACAGGACACAACTCCCTGCCAGTCCCCCCTCATCCCGATACCTTGTTCCCAATGGCCTTCTTTGGTGGGAAGTTGAACGCGTCCACCTGTGGGAATCGGGATCGCAGGCGCTGGTGCAGGGCCCGGAAGTCCGTGTAACGGCGGTACACATTCCATTCGTTATCCAGGATCCGGATGTACACCTAGAGGCCGGGAGAGGAAGCGACACTTTAGGGAGGTGTGTTTAAATTTACTGCCGGCTCCGCTCACCAGCCGCTTCACGAGTTCCTTCATTGCCTCAACTGCAACACAGAGTAAAACAGCAAACAAGCCTGCAGGCAAATAATTCCCCACTGCACTGAGCAACAAGACAGATTACGAGCAGTCAAAACATTTGTTTTCTGCACTTAACTCTTCTCATGCAGGGAAAGAAACAGAACGTAGGATGAACACCTCTGTTTCACCTCCAACCCCAGACTGTCATGACAGGACCCTGCAGGTCTCCCTGGCACAGCAGGAAAACACCCCAGGCCAACTGCCCCTATCCATAGGAGAGAGTCACCCCTGGGTGACAGTAACACTGGGGAGGAGGGCAGACAGACAGAAAAGCATTGAAGAAAGAACAGTTAGATTTGAAATCTATGTTTTCAGACTAGGGCTGCTCCAAATTCACACCAACACCAGATCAGTACCTGACTTGATTTCCAAGTGCCCTTGCAAATGTTTCGCCCATAATACCCATGTACTATGATAGTTCAGAGATGTCATGATCATTAAGGCAGAGAGAACTACCTGCCTCACAGTTCTCTGAACTGTACTTTTCCATCAATAAAATCCTTTCAGACCGAGGTCTCTGTGCTGCAGAGATTTTTTTTTCAAGCCCTGCCTCCTCCAGAAACAGAGCGCTCTGGATTGTACTGACCTTGACAGGAGTCAGATGCTCAGTGCCGAATTCGTCTCACTACAGAGGTCTGACTCAAGAGCTTCAAAAACCAACAGCAGCCGAAGTTCAATACGGAGCCACAGGCTATGTTGTACAAAAATAATTAAAACAAAAGCAAGAATTCAACCTCTTTACTTTTTGCAGCACATAGGTAAGAAACGCAACGGTCTGATCTGCCAGCTAATCTAACAATGAGCAGCCCCACTCCCACCATTCTGTCTCACTTCCACGCAGCAGAGTGGCAAGCCCTCAGCTAAGAAATAAAAGAAGTAATATGGAAGTAACAGAGGGGGTTTTGAGGAGTTCTATCAAACTAGTAGAGAGCTGCTCATCTCTGCAGATACCTCCTTGCTTAATGTGGCAGACAAACAGGATTGTAATGTAGGCCAAAGTGGAACGGATTTAATTAAAGGGGAACTGCAGCCCCAGTTTCTCAGACCAGTTTTTAAAGCTCAGTAACTAAACAAATTCGTTGACGTTACAGACAAAAAAAGAGATAAGTTTCGAATTAAGCACGAAAACTGTGAACTTTGTGAAAGTACTGTAAGTCGCCATGTTGACGCAAACTCGTCACTAGTCACTTCCTGCTCACTAGTCACTGGAATTGCTAATGTAAAGAAATGTTCCACAGTGATCCGCATGCAGAGTAAACAAGTAGTATCTGTTGGTAAAACTCAAAATCGAGAGCAATATCTCTGCTGGATTAAAGGTGTTGTATTCACAAGTGTGCTTGCTTACAACGTCATAGGGCGACACACATCACTGGATGTTTTTTTGTCTCATTCTAAACAGCAGAACATGGTGATGCACAGACCTGGAAATTGAGTCTATTTTGTGATGTAAATTGGTGGTTTTACAAGTCACTGTGCACATTTTACTGTTACTGCAGTTTGAAATGCACTTATCAATGCTGATTCTTTGTAACCCCAAAATATGAAAATAGAGTTGCACTGATAAGGGAAGCTTACACAATCCCTGCATTCTTTTTGAATTTAGAGCAGTTCATTGCTCTCTGGGTCCTTGCAATTAATCTTCCGAGTGCAGTCTGACCCCCTCCAGTCTTACACGCTTTCCAACACCAGGAGCCTGGAGTTCACCCAGGTCCCAGGTTAGGGCATAAGTTCAGACACATTCAATTCACTCCAAAATCTTAAAAAACAAACAAAAAAAACAAACTACTTCAATTTTCGTGTTAATGCTTTTCTGTCCTTTTTTAAAAATAAAATCCAAAACGCACTTTGAAGAAAACGTTACTAAGCTGGAAAACAAATGACAAAAGGGGCAAGTGCCGTGAACAGCAGTCTTCCAGCTGGGACTCCTCTCAGGGAGAGCTGAGGGGCAGTGAGTCTGTTTTCCTGTGCTTTAACCCTGCGCAAGGGGCATTAATGCACCACTCCTTAACAACCCAGAGACCACGGAGAGCCTGCACCGTGATCTCCATGGCTCCTCTGGGCTCGCAGACCCGTTGGCCCAGAGAAAGTTACAGAATGAGCACAACGCCAACGTCGATCTCAATCGCTGGACGGGGGTCTATTGTATTGCAGGTAGCATGTTTCCAAAGGGCCCAGCGACAGCCCGCGTGTCCCCCAGAGTGACACACCCATAACGCAGAGAACTCTTTGTGTTAAAGAGGGCTTCTAGAATTTACCCAGCAGAGGTCAGCACTGTTCCCTCGTCCTGACAGAAGTGGAGGGGGAGGGGGGGGCAGCAGATTGATCGGTCATGGAGCGAGAAAGAAAAGACATCGAGGACAGGTTGAGCCGTTTCGCTGTGGCTCCCAACATTGTCCCTGTGTGTTGCCCACATTATTGATTGAATGACATAGATCAGGCCCGGGCGCAGCCCAAAGGCAGCAGGCAGACTGAGGAGGTCTCCACAGAGAGAACCCTGCTCCTCTCTCCCCTCGCGACTCTCTTCCCAGGCTCCCTTCCCTCACACTTAAGGTGATTTTCCAGATAATTTGGCTTTAGAACAGCCACTGGAGACCAGCTGAGGTTTTCTCTTACTGGTTTCCCTACATACTACTCACATAAATTATACAGATCTGGTTTTCATCTCCCAGTCTATCTTTCCTCCTGCTGCCACTGTGCTCCTCTGTCCTTTAAAGACGATCACTCTTTTCAAGGACAGACAACGCATTTTTCAGCAACACGCAAAAGTGGAAGTGTTTTGTTTGGTTTTTTTTTTGAAAGATAGATATACCCCATAGCAATGGTAAAGCTCTAGGATGTGCTTTGAAACGCGGAATTAATTTACACAATAAGCTCTGCACAAGATTGACACCGAGTCGTGCAGCTTTCATTACAAAATTAAGCACAGCACTTCTTTATCTCAGCTATTTATTCACAAATAAAGGTTCTTTTAAAACCAGAGTACTGCAGAGTTCTGCAGAGGAATAAAGTAACACTCCTTAGGAATTAGTCTTACAAACAGACTTTCCGTTCAAGTAGCAGACTCAATTTTCTACGCAATGGAAAGTTCTTCAGATCTCTCCTAGATCATTTATAATTGAAAGGCTCTGATATTACTTTGTGGTTATGAGTATTTTAGAAATTTTAAGTAGAGGGGATTTAATTCTTTCAAAGTTCCCATGGAATAGAGGAATGGACTGGATAAAATAAGCAAATGTGGATCTGAAGAAAATCACAAAACAATCAGGGCATTAGTCAGATCCTGCCACAAAGTCCTCAGAGCCACCTGAGTGATGAAGCTTTTCATGTTTTTGGCAGCAACAAGACACAGAATGACCTTTTCAGCAGAGTATTTCTCCCAAGCACTTTCTCGTCTGTGCAAAAGAGGGGAAACTCTTTCCCTCATGAGCTAATCATCCAAACACTGCCCAGACCAATCGGCCTGACTTTAACCACTGACTCCAACACACATCTCTGGCCTCGGGCCTCTTACGCATGACACTTCAAAAGACATTCTGATACAGAGCTCTTGACTTTCACCATACCTTTCCAGGTGAATACTGTGAAGAGTCAGGGTTACTGAACAACACTGCACAGTTTTCTAACAGTCTCCAGCTATTTATTGAAATGCATCATGGCATCTTGTTCAACTGAAGGATTTACAGCAGTCCAGTACTCAGACTGACTGAGAAGGATATGTTTCTTTGTACCGGTGGTGTTGCATAGAATTCAGAAACCTGAAGCTGTGAGGTCTATTTTTTAAAGTACTGCAAGAAAAAGAAGAAGAAGAAAGAGAATAAATAATAGTTAACCTGGCAAGAAAATTGCACGACATGAAATGTTTTTAAAATCTGCCCCCAACTCACTATCATTTGAGAAACACCGTGATAGACAAGAACCTGCAGCCGAAGCCCCCAGTCTTGAACAATCACACAGCGCAGAAAGCTCCTGCTTTGCTTCTGAATAGAAACGCGTGTCATCTCCTTTTCAGTTTCAAGAACTAGCATCAATCACAGCGTGACCAGCGTCTCCTGTGAAGAATGCCTGGAGAGAGGCACGGAGCAAAATCGCTCCCATCATCTGTATCCAGTCCTAACCGTTATGCTGAGCTGAAAAAAATGTTTTAAAAAAAAAACCCAATAACAATAAAAATCTAATAATTCTTAGAGTGTAATTAATATAATAACAACTAAATTACCTGAGCATATGCCGGAGCTCAGCAGTTGGGACCAAGAGGATTAATCACTGTGTCTGGAAGAGAAGCGGACTGCTAAGAACACAGTTTGATGCTTTAGCTAGGTGCCACTGTGATACAGGAAGCAGGTTTCTAGAGCAGGAGGTCTCAACCTGGACTCCTGCCTCTCGCCACATGCTTCCTAAACAATAAGGGAAACTCTGAGACGCTTTTCAGACCCGGGAAAGAAGGTAATAATCTCTTGTACTGGCGTTGGTAAGGCTGTATATAATCAGTCCATCTCTTCAAACACACCATCACACAAATGGAGATTAAAATGCCATCGCTGACAGACAGATGTCACAACTTAACGTTAAACATTACCAGCCAAAGCTCCCATCTGGAACAACTGTCCAGATAACATCAGGCTCATTAATTAGCCCGCCCCCACTCTGTTTGTGTGTGTGATAGTCTAAAATCATGAACTGGGAGATTAATGGGTTACCAAGAGACTAGTTGATAAGCTCTTTATTTTTCTATCCCGAGTTGATTTACTCGGACCCAGAAAAGCAACACCTGTCTCAGCACCACCAGGATCCCAGCAGCCACTGCTGGATTCCGCCTGCAAGGCGATGGGACGCATAATCTCCCAGATGAGCTCTGCCACATGCAGAC